TGTAGTATTCCCATTGTTGTAGTGTTCTCATTGTTGCAGTGTTCCCATTGTTTTAGTTTTCCCATTGTTGTAGTGTTCCCATTGTTGTAGTGTTCCCATTGTTGTAGTGTTCCCATTGTTGTAGTGTTCTCATTGTTGCAGTGTTCCCATTGTTGTACTGTTCCCATTGTTGTAGTGTTCTCATTGTTGCAGTGTTCCCATTGTTGTAGTGTTCCCATTGTTGTAGTGTTCCCATTGTCGTAGTGTTCCCATTGTTGCAGTGTTCCCATTGTTGTAGTGTTCCCATTGTTGTAGTGTTCTTATTGTCGTAGTGTTCCCATTGTTGTAGTGTTCCCATTGTTGCAGTGTTCCCATTGTTGTAGTGTTCCAATTGTTGTAGTGTTCCTATTGTCGTAGTGTTTCCCATTGTTGTAGTGTTCCCATTGTTGTAGTGTTCCTATTGTCGTAGTGTTCCCATTGTTGTAGTGTTCCCATTGTCGTAGTGTTCCCATTGTTGCAGTGTTCCCATTGTTGCAGTGTTCCCATTGTTGTAATGTTCCCATTTCTATAGTGTTCCCATTGCTATAGTGTTCCCATTGCTGTAGTGATCCAATTGCTGTAGTGTTCCCATTGCTGTAGTGTTTCCATTGTTGTAGTGTTCCCATTGCTATAGTGTTCCCATTCCTATAGTATTCCCATTCCTATAGTGTTCCCATTGCTGTAGTGTTCCCATTGCTGTAGTGCTCCCATTGCTTTAGTGTTCCCATTGTTGTAGTGTTCCCATTGCTGTAATGTTCCCATTGCTGTAGTGTTCCCATTGCTGTAATGTTCCCATTGCTATAGTGTTCCCATTGCTATAGTGTTCCCATTGCTATAGTGTTCCCATTGTTTTAGTGTCCCCCATTGTTATAGTGTTCTCATTGTTGTAGTGTTCCCATTGTTTTAGTGTTCCCATTGTTATAGTGTTCCCATTGTTGTAGTGTTCCCATTGTTATAGTGTTCTCATTGTTGTAGTGTTATCATTGTTGTAGTGTTCCCATTGTTGTAGTGTTTCCATTGTTGTAGTGTTCCCATTGTTTTGTAGTGTTTCCATTGTTGTAGTGTTCCCATTGTTGTAGTGTTCCCATTGTTATAGTGTTCTCATTGTTGTAGTGTTATCATTGTTGTAGTGTTCCCATTGTTTGTAGTGTTCAATTGTTGTAGTGCTCCAATTGTTTTAGTGGTCCCATTGTTGTAGTGTTCCCATTGTGTAGTTTCCCATTGATGTAGTGTTCCCATTGTCGTAGCGTTCCCATTGTTGTAGTGTTCCCATTGTCGTAGTGTTCCCATTGTTGCAGTGTTCCCATTGTTGCAGTGTTCACTTGCTGTAGCGTTTTCATTGCTGTAGTGTTCCCCATTGCTATAGTGTTCCCATTGCTGTATTGTTCCCGTTGCTGTAGTGTTCCCATTGCTATAGTGTTCCCATTGCTATAGTGTTCCCATTGCTATAGTGTTCCTATTGCTGTAGTGTTCCCATTGCTGCAGTGTTCCCATTGCTGTAATGTTCCCATTGCTGTAGTGTTCTCATTGTTGTAGTGTTTCCATTGTTGTAGTGTTCCCATTGTTGTGTGTTCCCATTGTTGTAGTGTTTCCATTGTTGTAGTGTTCCCATTGTTGTAGTGTTCCCTTTGTTGTAGTGTTCCATGTGTTGTAGTGTTCCCATTGTTGTAGTGTTCCAATTGTTGTAGTGTTCCCATTGTTGTAGTGTTCCCATTCTTGTAGTGTTCCCATTCTTGTAGTGTTCCATTCTTGTAGTGTTCCCATTCTTGTAGTGTTCCCATTGTTGTAGTGTTCCCATTGTTGTAGTGTTCCCATTGTTGTAGTGTTCCCATTGTTGTAGTGTTCCCATTGTTGTAGTGTTCCATTGTTGTGCTGTTCCCATTGTTGTTTAGTGTTCCATTGTTGTAGTGTTCCATTGTTGTAGTGTTCCATGTTGTAGTGTTCTCATTGTTGTAATGTTCCATTGTTGTTAGTGTTCCATTGTTGTAGTGTTCCCATTGTTGTAGTGTTCCCATTGTTGTAGTGTTCCCATTGTTGTAGTGTTCCCATTGTTGTAGCATTCATGTTGCTCTAGTGTTCACGACACTGCAGTGCTCACGTTGCTGTAATGTTCACGTTTACCTGGAGTTTACCTGGAGAGAGTTCCGGGGGTCAACGCCCCCGCGGCCCGGTCTGTGACCAGGCCTCCTTGGTGTAGTTTTCACGTTGGTGATTTGTTCTCTGTGCTGCAGTGTTCTCTGTGCTGCAGTGTTCTCTGTGCTGCAGTGCTCTCAGTGCTGCAGTGTTATCTGTGCTGCAGTGTTCTCTGTGCTGCAGTGTTCTCTGTGCTGCAGTGTTCTCTGTGCTGCAGTGTTCAATGCGCTGCAGTGTTCACTGTGCTGCAGCGTTTACTGTGTTCTAGTGTTCACTTTACTGTAATGTTCACGTTTCTGTAGTGTTCACAGTTCTGTAGCGCTCACTGTGTTTACGTTGCTGTACTGTTCACACCTTTATAATGTTCACAGTGTTGTACTGATTGCAGTGCTGTAGTTTTCGTGTTGCCGTAGTGTTTACTGTGCTGTAGTGTTTACTGTGCTGTAGTGTTTATTGTGCCGTTGTGTTTACTGTGATGTAGTGTTTATTGTGCTGTAGTGTTTACTGTGCTGTAGTGTTTATTGTGCTGTAGTGTTTATTGTGTTGTAGTGTTTATTGTGCTGTAGTGTTCACAGTACTGTAATGTTTACAGTGTTGCAATGCTCACAGTTCTGTAGTTTTTACTCTGTTGCAGTGTTCACTATAGTCTTCACTCTGCTGTAGTCTTCGCTTTAGTGTTCACTCTGTTGTAGTGTTCACTTTAGTGTTCACTCTGTTATAGTGTTCACTTTAGTGTTGTAGTGTTGCAGTGTTCACTGTAGTTTTCACTGTTGTATTGTTTACTGTTCTAGTGTTCACTCTGTTGTAATGTTCAATGTAGTGTTCGCGGTTGTGGTGTTCATTGTAGTGTTCGCTGTTGCAGTTCATGCACGTTGCTTGGAACGCAACCTGACTCTATTATTGACATTAATTCCAACAGAAATAGTTTGTCACCATATTGCGAAATGTTGCGCTAGAAGAGGAGGAGACTGGTGAATGAAGGGTAAGCAGAGGAGAGTGGGAGGAAAGGTTTGGGAATGGAGGAGTAAAGAGAAGAGAGTGGGAGAAAAATATTGTGAATGAAGGGGTAAAGAGAGGAGAGTGGGGAGGAAAGTACTGGGAATGAAGGGGAAAAGAGAGGTCAGTGGGGAGGAAAATAAGGGGAATGAAGGTGTAAGGAGAAGAGTAGGGAGGATAGTGAGGGGAATGAATGGGTAGGGAGAGGAGAGGATGGGGTGGAGGGGGCAGGGAGGTAGGGGAGGAGATGAGGTGAAACAGGTTGTTGTCACTGGGCCAAGGAGTCATGTGGGGCGAGTCTCCCATTCATGGGGTTAACATGGCTTTGTGTCATGCCGTGTGAGTTAATTCATCTACTATTATGACCATGACTAGTGACCAGCTACTCAGGATTATTGAGGCAGGTCATATAGTTCAGCGTGATGGGTGGTTGGGGTCACTGCACCTGGGGTCACGTTAGGTAGCCATAAGGCACAGGTCCGGTGTGTGTTTGTGTATGTGTGTTTGTGTGTGTTTATGTGTGTGTTAGTGTGTGTGTTAGTGGTGGTGTTGTGTAGTGTTTGTGTTTTGTTTGTGTGTGTGTTAGTGTGTGTGTTTGTGTTTAGTGTGTGTTTGTGTGTGTGTGTGTTGTGTGTTGTGTGTGTGTGTTGTGTTGTGTTTGTGTTGTTGTTTGTGTGTGTGTGTGTTGTTGTGTTGGTTGTGTTTGTGTGTGAGTGGGTGTGTGTGTTGTGGTGTGTGTGTGTGTGTGGTTTTGTGGTGTGTGTGTGTGTGTGTTGTGTGTGTGTGTGTGTGTGTGGGTTTGTGTATGTGTGTGTGTGTGTTTGTGGGTTGTGTGTGTTGTGTGTGTGTGTGTGTGTGTGTGTGTGATGTGTGTGTTGTGTTGTGTTGTGTTGTGTGTTGTGTGTGTTGTGTGTGTGTGTGTGTTGTGTGTTGTGTGTGTGGTGTGTGTTGTGTTGGTGTGTGTGTTGTGTGTGTTGTGTGTGTGTGTGTGTTGTGTGTGTGTGTGTGTGGTGTGTTGTGTGTGTGTGTGTGTGTGTGTGTGTGGTGTGTGGTGTGTGTTTTGTGTGTGGTGTGTGGTGTGTGTGTGTGTATGTGTTTGTTTGTGTGTGGTGTGGGGGTGTGTGTGTGTGTGTGTTGTGGGGTGTGTGTTGGTGGTGTGTGTGTGTGTGTGTGTGTGTGTGTGTGTGTGTGTGTGTGTGTGTGTGTGGTGTGTGTGTGTGTGTGTGTGTGTGTGTGTGTGTGTGTTGTGTTGTGTGTGTGTGTGTGTGTTGAGTGGTGTGTTTGGTTGTGTGGTGTGTTGTGTGTGTGTGTAGTTGTGTGTTGTGTGTGGTGTGTGTGTGTGTGTGTGTGTGTGTGTGTGTGTGTGTGTGTGTTAGTGTGGTGTGTGTGTGTTGTGTGTGTGTTGTGTGTGTTGTTGTCTGTGCCCTGGTACACTCACGTGTCCCGCCATCACATCTGGCTAAAATCTCAATGTCGCCAGGTCGGGCGCAGCACTGGCGCTGTGAGTTATGTGTGTGTCTGTGTCTTGGTATGTGTGCATGCGTGGTGGTAGTGTGTGTGTGGTGTGTGTGTGTGGTGTGTGTGTGTGTGTGTTGCGTGGTGTGTGTGTGCGTATGTGCATGTCATGTTGGCTCGTATGTTCCGTTTGTTTTGGTTTTTCTGTCATGTGCCCTGGGTCCCCACCACCCCCACCCATCGATCACCGCCATCAACCCACCTCTAGGCCTAAAACTCTCAATTCGCCAGGTCGAGACAGCAGCACCAACTGGACGCTGTAGACCATGGGCGGCTTCCTGCTTACCTTGACCTTCCACGCCGCCCTCTGCGTGGTGTGGGCAGCCACACACACTGACCTGGCGGTGTAGGTGGTAGCGTGCGGGCGGACTCTCCTGGCCCGGCTTCACATCCCGTGGGAACTCCTGTTCTCCCTCACTCGCTCACCAACACACTGCTGTCCCACCACCTCTCGCGCCCCCTTTATTGATTCCCGCTCCACGCGCGTGCGTTCTCCGCTACCCACAACTCGCACACACTCACACACGCACACACACGCACACACAAACGTGTTTTCTTACACGGAAGTGTTGGCCTGATCATTGGGGCGTTGGTTTGTGTGTATGGGTTGTATGAAGGTACCCAAAGGTAACCGGACACGACATTGTCTTCCACAGGTAGAGGCACTCATTGATGCAACAGTCAGTGAGAGCGGAGGAAGGAAGGGGAGGCTACAGGTGTCAGGGCCAGGACCTGTCTCCCTCCCTTACCATAATGCCCCCACCACCGTGGTCACAGCCACCACCCACCCCCACTGCAGCTACCACTCCTACCGTCGCAGCCACCATACCACCAATATAATCATCACATTTATCACCACCAACACCACCACCATCACTATCGCAGCCACAATAATGTGGCTGCTGCGATAGTGGTTACGACTTGTGACTTAATTATGAACCCAAGACGAACAGAAACGTCGCCTAAAAATATATCTTCAGTATATATGGGATGGTTTTGAATCAACACCAGCATCATCATCACAAGCTTCTCTCTTCCAGGTAATGACTCATCATCTGGATCCCTCACTCCTCGTCTGCTATAATCACTTTATATAAATGCTTTTCAAATTCTACTCAGTGGCGTGCGGTTGCTAGTACGTTGTCTTGGCTCATCGAGCCAGCTAGTTTGTATGACAAACTAGACACTCGTATTTGTGTATTTTATGCACAGTGTTTAATGGAGAATGTCACATGAGGAAGAAAACTGTCAACGTTTTCTACCGTGAGCCACTGGAAGAAAATATCAGACACAAATCTTATTTACCACTGCCTGGGAGAATATCATTTACCTGATCGTGTATAGTTGATGGTGACTTTTGATTTTAATAAAAGATGTTATTTACAAAATATAGAATGTTTATGGGAATCCTCTTTTACCAGTGCTGATGAATTTGTATATGGAATTCTTTGAAGATAGGATTCTGAACGATATTGCTCATCCAACCAATGATGGATGTTGATGACGTTCTCTGTTTGCAACTCACAGTAGAAAATCTTAATTTTCTTCCTTAATTTAATGTGCTGGTGTCTTCCATTAAATTTATGATGGAAGTGAGGCTGGATTAATCATTTCCATTTATAAGTGGTCTCTGTAAATAGAAAGTCAACACATTAATGTTCTTTCATACTCTACTTCCTGCCGTCAAAGGAAAATCAAGGAGAGGACTGTCAGCCTAATGTTTTTGAAGGCTCTTCATGTCTGTTGCTCAGAGGTGGATTGATGTTTCATTGACTTCACATATAATAAAACATTTTAAGATTCTCATCCCAAGGACGGAGAATATCATGAGTGTTTTGACGCTGCTATACATTAGAGTTTTGTTCAACTATTATGAAGGCTGAAACCATTTAATGTTAAAGTTATGTTTAAAAACACCAGTACAGTGAAACGTATGTACCCATCTGGGTCTGTATATATACGATCTCTTATAAAGAATGTAACAACTTATTTTAGACTGTGATATTTCATTTTCCCATGGGATATACCAATGAGCCAGAGGAAGGCCTTGCTCAAATGACCAAAAGCTTCGCTGGGCGACCATCACATAGTTAAAACCTGCGTAAGTGGAAATGATCTCATTTATTCTAACAAAGAAAATACTTTCATCCAGATACATTGGATAAACTTGGATGACTTTGAAAGCTAGGATTCAAGAACATAAATATTCAATACGTTTTCCATGAGAGACTCAAAGCCTCGTTTTCTGCCTTTGCAAGATTGGATACTCAGTAGATTGGATACATAGCATAGTGGATTCCAGCCAAGGATAAGTCGAGAATAACATCATGATATTTATTGTAATTAACTAAGATATTTATTGTAATTAGGTATTCATGCAACACATAATATTATAAAAAAAAGGATATAAGCCAAAATAACAGGCAATGTATGAATCCTGATACTATGACATGACTTTCGGTTTTGGTCATTGATGTAGTTATAAGTGTATTACTACATCTATTACTCCACTGACTTTTGATTATAATTAAATATAGACGTGAGAAAATAAAGGTCTATTACTGTACTCAAACTGAGTATTTAAGATGGTTCACGATGGGTAGTGTTCCTACTCAAGTAAGATTCTCATGTAGCTGTGAATGACTTACTCTAAGTCACAGTATAACTCACATAAGTAGGATCCAAAAGTTATATTGCCGACTACAGTGAAGAACAGACAGACTGCAGAACAAGCTTAGAAGAACACTTTCTTTCTCTCTGTGTAGGGTTTACTTTAATCCTTAAAACAGATATTAAGTTAAACCCTGTATATAAGGGTTTAACGTTTCTCCGTAAATGTAATAATAATCTCAGTGTATATACTCTGACAGTCATACTCCCAGCGGTTTAGTTATCATGTGCTGATATTCATCATAACTTCATCAATTCATGTCTTGTTGATGAAACTCTGCACAGAGCAGCTATGTGACCCATACGGGTTTACAAAGAACAAAACGGTGGTCCAATAATCACTATTTCACATTATGGTTAGTTTCGTCATAAAATAATGTGAACATTAAAATGGTATAAAATACCGACAGATTGTTAGGTAAGACACATATGCAACAGTTAGGTATCTTTATTTCGAAACGTTTCGCCTACACAGTAGGCTTCTTCAGGCTTCTATCAACTTTTCTGTACTCGACTGAAGAAGCCTACTGTGTAGGCGGAACGTTTCGAAATAAAGATACCTAACTGTTGCATATGTGTCTTACCTAACATAAAATAATGTGATGAATATGCTAATAAAACCTTCTTCTTCTTCTTTAATTATCACTATAGAGCATCGCTTAGGGTTTGCAATACTTAATACAAAGTGTTCGGATTTATTGCAGTAATGTATATAACCGATTATTAACCCACAATTTGGAGAAGAAACGTTAAGCAATGTTTCGGTCCGTTCTGGACCATTATCAAGTTGCGAATGATATAGAAAATGGGAGTTCAAATGAGAGATATTATTAAGCATTCAAGGTCAGGTCAAGTCACATGTTTTCTGATGATTTGTTCATTTATCAGCAAAACCAAAAGTGTAACTTAGACTCGTTTTAAGAATGTTAAGAATAAGAGGAAATTCAACACAACAGCGTCTGGAAAGGTTAGAAGAAGGACGTATAAATTATTAAATATGTCATCTGTTGAGGAATAGGATAGACAATGATTGCTTGTTTCTTGTGATTGTACAGCGGTTGTTGGGGTCTTCGGTGAAGGAATTCTATTAATTTTTCTGTTTCTGTTTCTGCTGTCTTTCCTCTATATTCTTAAGAGGTTTTTCTTCCTTTCCTTTCATGTTTTATGACTCTACGAAAGCTTAGTGGTGTTGTAATATTCTGGTGTGGTGAAGCCTTCAAGTTGATTACTTTAATAAAATATTACCTAGTGCCTAGGCTTTCAACTTCAACTTGTTGTTTTCTTCAAGTTTATGTCTTGGTTTCCCATGGAGAGAGAGAGAAAGAGAGAGAGAGAGAAAGAGAGAGAGAGAGAACTGGATGAGAATGGATTTTTACTTTGTTCTGCTGTGTACATACTTAAGTGTGGTCTTAAATAATCTCGTCAGTTATATACATGTTTCATCAGTGAGGTGTCTAAATGACTATGATATACCTCCACCTCCTGGTCAACCTTTTTCTTCAAGACAGCAGTCACTCGCCTGTGGCTCAGTGTTGCATTCCTAACCGGTCTGTCATAAAGTACTGAGAGCTGTCATCTTGACGAGCAACTCTCAAGAACTAATATGATCTCAACTGGAAGTTCTGTCTCTATCATCTTGACCAGTGCGATTTCCCTTCCGGTCGAGGAATGAATTTTATTTATTAGCTTTGTTTAGTCTGATTTTGTTTTTCTTTCTTGTTAGCTTCATAAAGGTTTTATTAAAATCCTTACTCTTCATATTACTTTTTTTTTTATTTCTTGGTTATTAGTTGTTCCATTTTTTCCACTTGAAAAACTCCCAAGCCCTCTTGTTCTTGACATCTGTATTTATGATGCATATAATACTGTAGTACTGTCATGGTTCGAATTTGTCCCCATTGTTACGTAGTAGTAATGAAGAGACTCGGGAATTTCTGCTGAGACATGATGGAATTTTTATTCCATAAAGAAACTCATTTTTAGGACTTGTAACCTACGTAGAAAAATTCTATCAACCCTTCATACATTATTTAAACTGATAAAATACAAGCTAACGAGAGATATGATCACATGCTGAAAATACAGAGAGAACTTCATTCTTATAATGAAACCATCTTAGCCTTAACTATTCACCCTATCGATGTTTTGTGTTGTCAGGGTAACTAAGAGCGTAAAGTCTGTTCAGTGAAAAACCTAAATCCGATATTTATGAAAGTTCGAGGTGAACTGGCCTCACAGACGAAGCCCTAATGTATAAGTCTTGATTGACATTTAGATGCTGGGTGAGCGGAAAGCTCAGTCTCTGAGCATTCACTCTTTTCACTCTTTTCCTCGTAATGATTTGCGAAGCTCTGAGACCATTTCTAGATTAGATTCGCTGTTCTTAACATTTTGATAATGAATATAGATCTCATAGTTATCTGACGGAAATTTAATGAAAATAGTTTGACAGGGAATTTTAACATTAATTCTTTCTTGATGGGAGACGTCAACCTCGTCCTCCTTCCATTTCTGCTCTCCCTCATTCCTCCCCCGAGTTAAGTTATTTATGAAGGAACCAGAAGATGCCACCAGATGAGATGAGATGAGAGGAAAAAGATAGTCTTACCAAGATTGGAGGAGGACTCTCCTTTAACCAGACTGCGAGATGATAGTCCTTAAATAATTGGGAGACGATTGTCCTTTACAGACAGGGAGCGGATGGTCCTTTAAAGACTGGGAGAGGATAGTCATTTAACTAAAGGGAGAAGAAAGTTCT